CAATTTTCTAACCCATTTAGTGCTTTTCACTTAATCACAAACCGCAACTTTGCATGATGCCGGATTCCCATGAACTTTTCGCTGTGCTTCAAAGATTTCATATCCCTTTCATTCTACCTTGGTAGGAACCTTTATTATGGCTCTACATTCCAGGGTATCACTGTCCATGAGACAAAAAAACATTTTTCTTGACTAGCTCCGCCTGATAGGCTCTAAACAGCAGGACTGTTACACCAATTAATTCACTTAACTCGGTAAAATAAAATTTAACTTTCAAGGGGACTTCGTGTTTGCTTCATCCATGCTAGTTTGATGAAAGTTCACCACGCACCTCTGTGTGCAATATGGAGGAATGTGGATGCCAAATCGGCCGACCTGAAGACAAATTCCAGCAAGTGAAGCCGGTATTCCAAATTTCTAAAAAGATTTTTCACGAGAAAATTGCACGTTAATTATAATACCTGCTGACAGGAGGCCGAGCAATGAAATTTACAACTCGAGCATCATTAATTCAATATAATGAATGTTTGTGTTTTTTTTTTAATTTACTGATACATTTAATTTTATTCTCAACGTTACACGTTATTTCCCAAAATGACATTGGTGTATATGCCAAGCTTTGCAAATTTCAATACTGCGACACTTTCTGCGATTATTTTCTCCATGTCTTAATATGAAAACTTTAATCGAGCCAAGATTCAGTTGATCAGATTAGACTTGACAATTTATAGATACCAAGCCAATTCGTCGCTCATTTGATGATACTTTGATCTGTCTATAATCGCGTTTAACTAATGTGAGGAATCACTCTTGTTGATTAGAACACCAACTACGGGGAACGACTGGGATCAGGACATTTTGGGCTACTGGTAAAATTAACCTAATTCATCAGACTGAACGTCAGCACTAATCGCTAGTAAAAGATACACGGGTTAAGAAATGCCATGTTATTTGGAATCACAAATTGCGCCTTCCTGAAAATTGCATTTTAGAAATATGCTTGAAGAAGGAAAGCAACAGGCGGTGAATCTGATTGTTTATGCAAATACTACTGACGATTTCTGCTAATGGAATTCACTCATAAAGTGCTGCGTTCAAGCCTATTTGCATATTGAATGTCCCAAAGGCAGAGGAACGTAAACAAGTGCGTTATTCGTCACAGTTAATGCATGAAATGGCCGTCGACCACTGCTCTGCGTTATCGCACAGTTGTCCAACATTTAGGCCCATTTTACTTTTCGAAATATTTGAGTGAGTTTGGCATGCGTGCAAAATCGTTTATATTAATTTTTGTGTAGACGTTAAAATTTCCTGCCTTATTTGTCTTTTATCCCATTCGCTCGAGGGAGGAGTTTTGAGATTCCATTCAGTCATTGTGGCCTTACAAATATTCTGAATCACTGAAAAAAATCGCTAGCTTCACAATTTACATGCATGAATCCATAGGTACTGTTATTAAAGTTATATGTGGACTTCTATTTTGCCACTTCAACCGTCTCAAATTATTTAGAATGAAAAATAATTTAATTCTACTTCTCTTGACAAACAAGTAAGCAGTAAACAAGTAACGAAATCAAAAATGCATAACGACTTCTAGCAGCGGATGTTTAAAAACATGAATAGTACTAAAGGTCGTGTGACTTGTTGCCTTTTCTGCTTTTTTAAAAAAAGCAGACTTGTTTCATCACTAATTTGCTCAGGTTACTTACCAACTGCGATGGAAACTGCCACAAGCAAAATTATTTAATGTACAAATTATAAAATTGCAACCTGCACGAAGCATCAACGCCTAACTGAGCAGCAGAAACAGGTAAAGAAATTGTCTTACTTTCGTGAGTGTAACATTTCTTGCCTTTTTAGCTGCAGCTGTCAGAATCTAATTCAAGTGACACAAGTGGCAGTCTATAAAATAACGAGAACTTGGCAAGAATTAACAAGGTAATTTAGGATTTAATACTGGTTTGCGACAACTGAGGCTGTTGAAAGCCTTTTAGGAAAGTCGAGACACAGGACTGCCAGAAGGGGAAGGCGACAATTTTGGGTTCAGCTTATTTCAGACATTTAGGAGACTTTGACTCGATATTCTAATATCAATTTCATCTCAATTGTCAGATCCACAAAGCACAAGAGAGCAAAATTATTTCAATCGTTGGCAAGTTATAGGAATTCTTATGTTCATTGACACTGATAGATGGCGAGAAAAAAGATGACAAAATGGCGAGGCAGTGGTCTTAACACAACCCACTTTATAGAAGCGGGGGCGTTATGGTCTGCGTGGTAGTGAGAGTCAGGACCGGCAAAATCATTATTCCACGGTCGGTTCCTGGGCATCAGTTAATTCCTAATTCCTTCATCCTTCATTTTTGCACTTGTAGCTGTTTATTTATAGGACATGTTTTTTAACTCTCCTATCTTACCTTTACTGTGGCCAAATTATCTACAGTATAGGGGCTTAATTTAGCAAGAGTAATGTTTGTATTGGCATACTTTGTACTTATTGGAAATAAGTAGTTGTTTAAAAATATTGATTATTAGTAAGAAAGATTTGTTATCCTCACAGTTCGCGGCCAATATTTAACACCCTGACTTTAATTTTTTCCACAATGTGAAATATTTTAAATCAGTTCACCGACTCAGAAGGTTTATTAACAAAGATGGTTTCCTAGACGCAATGTGTTGAACTCTTGATTTCCTATCTAATAATTAACATTGGCCCTCGTTTTTTTCTTCAGTTATTCAGAACATTTTAGCCCCTCATTTTGAATTGTGCATAAAAATAGGCGGGTTGTAAGTCCAAACACGTTTTCATATACAAAGGGGGAAAATGAAGTTTATTATCAGGCCTGCAGCTGATTTTATATTGGCGTCATAAAATAGAGATCAGTGCGCAGATATGACCGAAAAAACTGGAAAGAGCGAAACTAATGTTTGCCACTCTGTGGATAAGGTCAGGAATTTGTGTGCAGCAGCACTAAGTTAGAGAAAAGGCTTTGGATGGTTATACAATAAAGGGGTTTCAACACGTAACGGGACGTTTAGAAACACGACACGGGGTTTTTGAATAGGTATAGCATTAGGTGTACACAAAAATCAATTTCATGCATTTGTAAACATCAAAATGAAAGGGACACCTAGCTATCAAACTGGCATGTTCAGTTGTTTTTCTGTCATTACTCCAAGACTAAACGAACAAACCAGATTTTCGGCTACTCTTTATACGCCTGTTGAGTCGATTCATACTGAAAGTGGAATTAATTTGGTGAAGAGAGTTGCTTTAAGGATTGATGGTGGGTGCTTAACCAAATTGGCCATTCGCCAGTCTTATGGTCTTGTTCCAACGTCTGTGTTCCTCGTTCTGCCGAAATTTCCCTACGCCAGTTTTGCTATCGAATACAGGAACCTTAGACCCGCCGTGTCAGATGTTCTTCCCTTGAGGCATTCCATTCTACCGGCTGCTATGTCTCCCGAGTCAGCCGTGACAATTGTCATGGGGTTGCTTGTTTCAAGCATATCTTACTATAAAAAACACATTAACAGTTGGTGTCAAATGTGCATTAAAACCCAAAGTACCAATGAGGCCTTTCGAGCAGACTCCAGACCCTACTTTTTTGAACGTGCTCAGATTGGTGTCAATCGAGTTCTTAAAATGCGCAGTTCGAGTGTTTTGTTTAACGAGTTTGTTGGAACCGAGGCATAGCTCTTGCACCTCAGAAATATCCTGCAAAAATTAGATTCCGGATAACTTTGGATGTTGTATACCGCAAAATGTGGATTGGCTCATTGTGAATGATAAAAGTCGTGATGATAAGGGACAGAGCATGAGAACGCACTTACATAAAATTGGTGGAGCAAAAGCGTTCCCATTGCTACCTTTAACGGGCTCTTCTCACACGCCACATGATTTAGCTTTGGCAAATATTAAATGATTAAATTGTGCTACGAAAGTTGGCGACTGGCGACGATTACCCTAAATTTGCACACTAGTACTGGGGTATAAAAAGTGACTCTAATTTGGTCAAGATGGTTATTTATTACTCAGAATTGATTGGTGTTAAGGTATTTTTTAATTGAATGGCCAAAGTGTAGCTATTAAGCATTACCAGGCACAGGCACAGTCTTCTTGCATGATTGGTTGTTTGCGGGATTTCTCTCGTTGATGCGTTTACGTTTCCTCAGCGTCACAACCCGATTAGAATGCGTTGGTGCCTCGTGAATTCACGTCGTGTTGTGGACCTGTGCCAAGCACCCGACTAGCTGCTGGTGGCGTGCTGTCATGCGATAATCATCACTTCATAACCACCTCAAGCAGCTTTAAATACTCCCATTGGATTGATCGAGACATCCAACGATGCACGGTGATAGAGATAATCAAACAATGCATTGCTGGAAAAACCGAGCAATTAAGTGGAACTCTCCAGTGGTCACACTTCATATCAGCTGAAGTACAACATATGCAAAATGTTTAATATCTAATACTGAGACCGACGGCTTATGTCCGTGGTTCAGTTCCACATTCCACACTTCAAATTTTAGCTAATTTGGAGGGTAAGGAATTTATGCGAGACAGACTTAAGGGAGGAGAATAAAGCAGATATGACGCTCTTCGAAGTTCCATTTAAGGGATCTGGTTACAAAATAAAATGTCCACTTCTGTGCTAGTGAACAAACAAAAGGTAAAATTTTTCCACCTTAAAAAAACCACCTCTCTTTGATTTTTGCAGTGCATAACTGATCATTCAAAACAGTTCTTCACGAGGCACATTCTTCCCTTATTGCCCAAAGACTCCCAAATTGGAATACTTCGCTACCTTGTGGCACATATCACAAAATCATTGGGGGTCCACTAACGAGTCTAAGACCACTCAAATAATGGCCAAGTGAAGATATAGGATCCTAAGCAAATCAAACGGTAATGTATATGTAGAAAATTCATGTATTGGAATCTGTATGACTTGAATAGAAACTCTTCAATCGTAAGTCCCGAACAAATAAAAAGAAGACTAGGAATATCCATCTGGGTCTGTGTATCGCACATCAATTGATAAAATCTCCTCTTCGCTGTCCGTGAGCGCTTGTGGGGATTTTTTGCTGAGAAGCGGATTTTCCACAATAAATGCCTCGTTGTTGTGCCACTCACTGCTGCCGATTGCTCTAGGAGGGTATCTGGTTCCGCGCCGATGAATTTTGCTCAGTGGAATTCGAAGTATTTTTCGAAGAGGAAAGACCATTTTTGCTGTTTGCGAATAAATTAGTATTCGGTAGGGCCAGGAAAGAAGAAATATTGTAGCGAGAAGAAAGGTGGACTGACGAAATAAAGTGGAATTCTCCTTAACTACCAGGACAGATGGTGAGATGTCAGCTTCGTTGTAGAGCTGGAAACCTGTTAAATTCAAAATATTCATGTTAGGATCATCCCTTACAAAACGCCTTCAATCACACGATAGTTATTTGTGCCTTGTGGTGTTTAGCAAAAGGGATCGCGCAGAAGGATTAGGCAAGCGATTTCAAAGTAAGTGGAAATTAATTTTTAATGTTGAACAGACATCAAGTCGTCAATGGTATTAGTATTGTTTGAGTGTAAAATCTGAAGAACAAAAATTTGCACTAATGGAAGCCCTGTTGCAAGGGTTTGTTGGAGCGCTTTTGCACTTTTGCACTTAATAACTGAAGAAATTTAAAGCGACGATCCAGTTTGCTACGTTGAGGAAAAATTCTAACATGTAGTTTAACAGACAACTTTGACTCAAACCGTCTGAGACGCATGCAAACGAATGTAATTAGACTTCAAACCGACTAGCTTAGAGGAGCTGTAGTGATAAAGATTGGAACGCACTTGGCCCCCAACATGTCATGATAGAGCCACTGCGAGGTTTCAGCATACTGCGCAGTTAGAGGGTTTTGAAATTTGTGATTATTGCTACAATTAACTGCAAAGTCTTTCCCTTCGACAAGCCGCGTAAGTTGCGCAAGTTTTGCCACAGACAATTTTAACGTTTTTGGTCTTGGTAATTAAATTAACCCCTAATTGATACCTTTAGCAACTCAATGCTCGTTGTGTTCGATTTATTAAGGGGAGGCACAAAATCTGTACCTAAACATGGCCTTATCACCACACAGTGTACTTTCACTCGAAAAAAAGATACCTTTTATCCTACATTTTTTGTTTATCAGAAACTAAAAGGGACTCTATAACGCAAAATGCTCGTTTTCACATTAGCGAGTGGCACAATTTAGGCAATTAGCTTCGAGTTAATTGCTAGAAAAGTTGGTTACTTTAAATGCCCAGAGCCACCTTGGCAATCTTTAACGCATGTCGCTGTGTAGGGCAGTCGGTGAGGCAGGCGCAATTAGCCAAGAGTAGAATAAAAGTATTGTCTCACCTTGGCCCTAACTCTTGTGTTTGCAAGACACTGGTAGCCAACTTCACATGTTATCTTAACTTTTTTACCTTAACATAAGGTGGCTTTTTACTTTTTCCGAATTAAAAAACAGCTTTCGTCATCTTAAAGTCAATTAAGTTTACTTCACTTTAACAAGAGTGACGCAATGCCAAGTCCTTCACACGGCAAGTGTCTGGCTCATTAAAAGAAAAATATCCGCAAGCCAAACTCAACCATAAGCGTTCAAATTCATCGACACTACCTTAGTTGCATTTGTGTACTGGACAGCCATTGGAGCGGTAGTTTGAGGTCGAGTTACATCTTGTTTTAACTTGTTGATCATTGTAAATGTTGTAAGTTATCTTTACTTAACCCTGTGTTACTCACTGGATAAAATTAACCTGGCAGGCGCTAAATTGCTTGATCGATGTAATGCCTGATTTAATATTTTCAATTACATTGTGCTAACCTTGACTTAGTATCAGCACGATCCGCCATAATAGTACCAGTGGCCACTGACCAATGCAAACGAAATCAAACTGTCAAGCTAGCTGTGTAGATTTTATGATGACGTATATTGTCAAGTTAGCATAAAATGTTACATCCCTAGCATGTAAATGTGGACAAAATGTAGTTATATGTTTGCAGGTAAAATGAACGGATTTGTTAAAAAATACCCAGGTGTAAATAATTGGTTTTCACACAAGACGTTTGTCGGAATCGAGTTTAACCATCGCAGGAATCAAGTGAGTGGTTGAATTTAACTTTGAAGACGTGTAAGATGGCTAAACGCACACTTACTTTGGGGCAATTGATACTTTAAGAATCTGGATTTACGATTTTAAAGATTATAGCTGCTAATCCACTTAAAAATTTCTGAATTAATTCCATTTTTAAACTAAGGGAAACCCGTTATCTTTCTGCGAAAAAGATTAATGTGTGTTTAGACATCCAAGTTGGTTGTCACCATTATGGTTTATGGAAGAAATAATTGAGTCTGTGTCAACCACAGTTATGCGTGAGCACATAGCCATGTGGAAGGCTGTTCTGGCTGCTTGACTTGACGCTGAGGGGAAGATGAATTAGAATGTCACTTTTAGGTAAGTGAACTCTCACGAATTACATGGTGCTGACCAGTAGTTTGCGACAAACTTGGATCCAACAGAACACGATATTTCATCCATTTAGATGTGACATATCAGGTCGCTTAGTCTAGTAGAAGAACTTCCAAAAACAATTGATTTAAATGGGTGCATTTCAGTGAGAAGGTGATTCATCTCTTTTGAACATAACTTGGTTCCCGGAAAATAGGTTAAAATGAATAATCTTCTCCATTCAGTGCGTACCAAGTGTACGATACCATGCGGAACAAGACCAAAAAATAGTGATTTGTTTACCAGGGGACTTAACCTAAGCTGTTTTTCCAAAACGCCGTGAGTGATCGAAGAATCGCACTCAAGTACGGTTTCCTCTTAAGCGGTCTTGTTTTGTTAACAAAGTTAACCGCATGGCTGAATTTTCTCAAGAGGAATTTTAAATTAAACAATTTACATTTGTATAGGAAGTATCACTACCAACATTGGTTACGTTATTATTCACGAAACATGCAGTGATTCTTCCTACAAACTCAGCTCCACTTAAAGGTCTCCTTGTTTTAGTGCTGCGGCTTGTCAATTAACTGTGCGCTTCGACCGAATGAATTTCAGTGATGGTGACAAGCCGCGGTGCATGTGGGCACAAAAATTTTCAAGATCACTGCCTTCGTATTTCCTCTGCCTTCAGTGGTTACTTTTGACAATTTAGTTTATAAGCATTCGCGTAAGTAAATGAATAAAACGATTATAGTACTATGAGATTAAAGACAACCTAGAAGTTATGTTATTTCCTATATCTTTGCTCTTTGACTTGATCTTTTTCCTTCGCACGAACTCGATAAATGAAACCCTCAAAATGCAGAAATGACAGATTTGTCTAGGACTCCGAAGAGTAAGGGATTGTATCCATTGAAAGCGGAGGTTAAATCAGCAACTTGCTAAATTTAATAGGTACGCATGTTCGACTGCATCTCAGGTCAAGCACAAATAATTTTGCCATTCAAGAACACAAACGGTCAACGTTTAACGACGTGCCCTTTTCATACATCACGGCGGAATCAAAACGTTCAGACCAGTCCCAAATTTTATGGCATCATAAATGGATGATAACGCAGAGGTCAATAAAACAAAAGGCAATATCCTCTTACACAAGGTTGAAGCATGTTGTAATAAGCTACTTGCCTTCTTTTATCTCCATATATTCGTCATTTAATTCTTGGTTCCCAGTAACAAGTTTCTTACATGCCTCATAGCTTTGTCTTGTAGCCTCATCAGCAAAAATCAGTTCCTTTAAAAACTTCGTTCTCACTGCTGTGCATCGTTCTTTGTCCCAGTTAATTCTAGGTGACTTGTCACTCCAAATGCACTTGAGGGTAGTTGAATCGGTCAAAAAGTGCTGCTTCACGGAGGTTATAACTCTATCGTACCGTTCAGCACCCAGCACCACTCTTCCGCCGTTGTGGGAAACGGGCCACTGCACATTATTATCCGTGTTTTCTGAGAAACGAACCACTTCTGTGTACCTCGGTCGACAATGACATCTGTGTTCCTGGCGACGGACAAAGTGGTAGGAGAAGCAGAGCCACCACAACTTCGGGTCGTGCTGCAAGGCCGACTCGATTCGAGAAGTGATCTGGGCAAGGTCGATTGCTGTGGTTAGTTCCAACCGCGTGCGGCAGTTCACGTATTCAAACAGGTAAATGAGGTAGAGCATGAAAAGCAACGTTGAGACAATGGAATAGTGGGCTGGTTGACAGAACTCTGGCGAAGACAAGAGTATCAAGTGGAAGCACCAGGTTAGTGAGAGAAGGCAGAAGATTATCAGGAGTGTCAGTAGGAAGCAGCGCCATTCTCTACAGGCAAATCGGACCACGTTGCTACACTTCCTGTTCGTCGGACTGACCTACATTTTTTGAGAAAAGGGTAAGTCACGCAGATGTTAATTTGTTTTAGGCGAGATTCGCATTAGTTTTAAGAAATGGGACCTGATCACAATGATTTAGAGTAATACTTTGATCAGGTTCACAAAATGTAACGTTAAAAATCGACATAGACGGTTTCTATAAAAAAAATAGAATTCAAACTATTTGGTGAAGGAATAAAGCATTTCAGCCATATTAAAGCAGTCTCACAGTCTCCACTGAAGTGGGCAGTCAGGAATTGTCATTGCAAAAAACACATCGACATTGCAGTAGCACTCTGACATTACCACCTCACAGTTACTTGTGAAAAGAAACCACTGAAAGCATTGATACTGATGTGGTTTGATGGCAGCAACTCCTACTAAACTTTATCAGACTTAAGACGTTTCAGAAAATGATACCTGATATCGAGAACGCTAGGTGCATTGGAGGTAACTCGTTAAACTCTTTTTCATACTACCAGTAGTTTCTTAAGAATGCTAGACTAGGTTCAAAATCAAAACTATCTGGGACACAAGTGCTTAAACAGTTTTTAATATCTGCTCTCGAGTCTGTCTACTTGTTTAATTTCGCATGTACGACGACTTGGTTTACTCAAAGCGTCGAAAAGGCCCTGGATGTGACAACTTGGATATGGCTGGCCAAAGATTTTATATAAAATAGCCCTACCCCCGGCAAAGAAGATATGAACGGACAGTTATTACCATCTACAAATAATACGTGTCAACATAAATTCTTCGCACCTAATTTTAAAAAATTGTCAATAAATTTTCGAAATAATTGAGTGTAGAGGGTTGCTGGAAATATCAGTATATATTAGGTAAAAAAAGTTGCTTAGAGCATTTCTCCAGCCATTTGATCTGAATGGAAGTCGACGCCAAAATGGTTTTTCATGGAAAAAACAACTACGAGTCAATCCAAGCTGTCTATTCTAAAAAAAATTTCTGATGTAAGTGAGTAAAATCTACCCTGCATGCATCTGGCATGATGTTGGCAAGGACCACAAATGCCGAAACTTAAAAGAAATCCAAACATGCTTGCAAAATTACACTGAAGGTGAGTTGGTGCTTACCAAAAGAGGAATTTGCCTTGATTAATGTGCTCAACGATAAGATGAAGTGTACAGAAAATGTGAGGGTCAGACAAATTCTCAAACACTTTTTTGATTAACCTGATAGCAAAATCTTGACTAAGAACGTTTTAGTTGTGGACCAGTTCGTTGTCCTTGTGATGGTGTGTCTCGACGTTAAGACCAGTTTTTAACAAAATCTACCTTATACAAAACGTGTCGTGAGAGCTTATCTGAATTGCAATGTAAGCCGTATCGTCGAGTGCTTTCGATGGCTTAGATTAATTAAATTTGTATGGAACCAACATTTCCCATATTTATTCTTGGTGTAGTCGACTTCAATTGATTTATTTACCTCTAAATTATCTTTCGGATCATAACTTTATGCCAATATGCAATGAAACCTAAAGTCCACATTATTGGGAACCACATTACTTGAACATGTGAACACAGAAAATCAGGTTGTACAAATACCCAACGGTTTCGCACTTACAAGGATAGTTTACAAATACTTCAATAAAAGTTGACCCCTTTTTGAAACCACGAAAGGTTTTTTACTGAAATGAATGAATCAGTTGTGGAACGTCTGAGAAATTGTGCAAGTAGCTGTGATATGCATTTTTGTTCTTTAGATGTATCCAATTCAGATTCTCCGTTGACTCAGGTTGAAACAATGCAGAGCTTGTGCCAACTTCTTCAAATTGCGCTGAATGACAGTTTCAAGTTGACGGGTCGTGGTTTTACACGCAATGACAACGCATCTATTTTGAGATCTGAGGAAAACGGATTCCCTGAGGAAAACTAAACCGAATGTTAAAAAATTAAATAAGTAAAACTTGGACTTTGGCACTCTGGCATGAGGTTCAATTAATACACAGCATCACCTAAATGCGATTATGGAGAAAGATCAATAAGAAGTTTTCGGACTAAAAAAAACTCGAATGAATAAGTTTGATTTTTCACAAATGAGGGCCTCGATTCCTTTCGTTATTTTTGTTGAACAGCCACCTTTGCATTTTCCTTTAATAACAAACTCGCAATTGGTATTGTTTTTTTTTGAAAGCAAGCTTGCAGATCGGAGAAGGGGAACTATGAATATACTCATGAGGAACAACAAGAACTAACTCACAGATGTGGTGTACTCATGAGCTGAAAGCCATTACAATGTGGCCGGAGGTGCGTAACACACTAGGAGTAGTTACGCTAATGCAATTTAAGAGGATGGTTAAGTGGATTTTCCTGGTTTGAAGGGGACAGACAAGCCACAAAAGAGCTGCGTTTCGCCAAAGTGCCACAATTCATTTACACTTTTTCAAGTTGCATGTCGATTGGAGAGGTGTGGTCTAAATAAATCAGCTGCAAAGAGGCGATTTTGTAAAAATTCAAACCAAACATTCCATTTCGTAATTTGCCAAGACACATTATGGTATCGCCTGATCGGTTCACAAATCCGATCGAGGCTCTAACAGTTACGCAAAATATTACAGTGATGAAAAAATTTGAAAACTGAGTGTCCTCGCTGCATGAAGAGAACGGCATTTGTATGACCACGTCCACTGACAATGCGAATATCTTATTCTGTGCCTTGTAAAACGACCGGAAATGAAGCCGCGGTGTTTCGAAGTGACTGATTTATGGCACTTATTTCGACGCACTTCTAAGGTCATACAATCACCAGTTTTCACGCCAGTCAAACAGATAACATAACCTCTATTTTTACTGCTATTTCATATAAGGGGTCTGTTTTTGGTTAAATTGCCTTGTTTGTTGCATCTAACGGTGGCCAAACGTGACAGCCAAGGTGATTGCCTCCCCGACAAACTATGAGCTGTAATATATTCGTGTTAGGGTTTGCTATTGACGGCTAACCAGGGGTGTCCAGCAGTGGGAGACTATTTCGTCAGTATTTCGGCGGGCATCGCCGTGCATTTACGTGGTCGATTCAGAAGAGGCGAACTCAAATTCAAAACAGCCGATTGAACTTACCTCACCGTAATCTATTCCACTGATAACTTCTGAAGCTTCATCTGAGGGTGTCATGTCAGATTGGGAGAGATCTCAGATTATTTCCGAATGCCTGAGGGAGCACCGATGGTCTGAGTTGCGTAAACAAGGCGGCGAGCGCTCAGTCCAATGCTTGAACGGCCGCGTCACATCAACCTACACATACGTACGCACACCCACGCACCTGTCCGTCCCACCAATTTTGCACCTGGCCAGGTAGTGCGTGCGTGCACTCGCATGGATGCTCACCTATGCCTGCACTGGCACGATCTTGGATTCTGCGAAGCTCTGGTTGACTGCACAGCAATCCCATCTTCCTCAAGCGACGAGCTGTGTGTGCTTCACAGTTAGTTGAGACAAGTTTCGAGTCTTTGTGACGATTACCTGGCAATCGCGTGTAGACGTTGGTTTATGCATAATGCTAACTATTCTACAGTATTTGAGATTGTAGGCTCTACTCACTGAATCTACGAATTTCGCATGGTTACGGTGCCACCCTATTCGGTAAAGTAAATTTACGTGGCCTCTAGGACCGCATACGAGAGGAAATAAGCGCATAGAGGCGAGGCAACTCACATTCGGGGTTTTTAATAAGTTCTACATGAAATCTGGTACATCGTCCAAAGTAACTGAATGAACAACCAGATGTCACGAGGTTGGCTTTAATGCAACACTAGATTTCTCATCGGCGGTGGTAGCCCTGATTACATAAAGAGCGAATTATGACACTAGCTGTAGGTTTCAAATACAACGGTTTTGTGATATTTAAGTTGTGATTCTCTTCAAATGAACGTGAAGTGTTAGCTCGAAGCCTCAAAATACAACCCTGTCTAATAGTTAAGGAAATATCCCAAGCAGTATTTGAACCTTCTCTAAGTGTAAATTTACCTTATATTTTCCACAAACACATCTAGCCCGTGACAAAATCAATTCATCCTTGCTCGGTGTTTGACTGGCATTCACGTACTATTTTAAGATGTCCATTTCTTACTCCGGTCTGCATTTACACTGTAATTAATTGTTGATGTGGTCATTATATGTGCCAAAGAATAACAATTAATTGTAGCTGAATGGGGCACTAAAACATTTCGTCAAGCAAATTCAGGATGATTTCAATTAGGAATAAACATGGGTTTATAAAGAGAGGAATAAAAGGCGTACCGACAACAGTGGAATTAGGCCTTGGTTTAATATAAGAGCAGATTATCAAAAGTGCGAAGTTATGGTTCCAAGTAATGAGAGTATTTATATGCTTTTCTTGGGTAGCAGAGCCTATTTTTTCCGCGATTCCCCTTTTCTCTTTTATTAGGAACTGAGGCGGACATCTAAAAGGACGCATTGACATTAACTCATGATGTCTGCTTTCGTCCCCAATGCGGTTCACACACTTGACTCGTTGGTCATTTACTGAACACATGCAACGTCTCATCAAGTTCAACCTTCACGTTCTACCTCTTCGTCTCAAAATCGCCAAGTCTGGCCCACCAATCGTTGTCCCACAATACAACACCGCCAGGTAAGTGGATAAATAGACGTGTCTCCACCTTCTTCTCGCCATCCTCAGGCTTCCACACTACTTCTAGCATCACACCCATGCACCATCGACACAAATTTGGTTGTCCAAGAATTGTTTGCATATAATCACAAGGAGCTCTTTTCGACCGGCCCCATCTCCCCGTGCTCGTTAGAAGGGCACAATGGTTGCTACTCTGACCTACATCCTTTCCTTTGAGTCTGGGAAGTGGAACACAGTATAAATTTAAACCACACTCACAACAAGATTCAGAGGGATGTCGAGATAGTTCTGCAACAAGTAAAGTAACAATCACAGCAACCTAAAGGACCAAAAATCTACCCCATAACTGCCTCTATCGTGAAATATATTTGTTCACCTAAAGATACATGAGTAGTGCTTTAAGTGAAACGTAACATTGGCCTAATGACGCTAGGCAATGGAGATCATGCCCCTCAAATCACCTATATGCTATGTGTGAGCGGAGTCTTAAAATGCGATTGTCTATGCATTATGTAACAAAATAAATGTCTGAAAATGAAGGAACCCTAAAAGTAATCAGAGATTCTTTGTCAAGACTGCGTCGAGTTGATTTGTTTGGCTACAAGTGACAGTTATAATGTGGCAGATTATTGTATTTCTCAAGCTGAAATGGAGATTTTTGCGAACATACTTCATTTTTCAATAATTAATCGGATGTATCAAAATTCAGTTACGTGAGTTTTGATTGCATTTTCCATTGCCATGAACACAAAATTAAGTTAACTTTTGGCGTGGAAGCATTGGGGGTAAATAAGCGTGAGACTTGTGAATGAGGCTTGATAAACACCTGCGCCACACGGACGACCACCTTAAACTGGGCTAGCAGATTTTAAAATGGCGCCTGTAGATTTTTTGTCCTATTAGCAGAAAATTTCGTGCTAATAATAATAATCATCCACACTTTTGGCACTAAAATTTATTGCGTACGATAGATGAAAAGTGATATTGTAGGCTTATTAAATAGGATTATTGAACTGCAACAACCAGGGCTGGATGTCACCAGAATAGTTTCATTGTTTTACCTGGAGAAAGTTGGAGCTAAAATGCAAATCTTAATTTGATAACATCGGAACTCGCACCAGAGAAATCCAATATTGATCTGGCTTTCGCCTTTTTTGCTTATCGAAACACCAGACAGTTTAATTTTAAATTTCATAAATCACAAGAATCACAATTATTGACTCAAATGATTGTACCCAAACTGTTCTCAGTAAAGTCCCACATGAAAATTCGAATAAACAATCAACTTAGGTTTTAGCAGAATTACAGTTAAATATCAATTACAGAGAATCACCCATCAGAAGTATATTTTTTTAATACTAGATGTTCACTGTTTAGCAATTCTGTAACAAAATGTGCATTTAATAACTGGAAAGTCTTTTACCTTTATGCTATGCAGGAAATATGCTGATTCCTAATCTTTCTAATTTTGAATGCAATTTTTGCCTGAGATAGCGGTTTTGTGTTTACACAAGAAGGACCATAGGTTTACCATTTCTTAATATGCCGGATAAAATTGCCTATCGTCAATTGTCGGAAGATCCTTAGCCAGTCTATAGACCAGCAAACGCTACTTGCCAGCTTGAGATTCAAAGAAACTCCAATGGGGCTCGATGTACGAAAGCGTTTAAGAACATCAGAGCTTTCAGCAGCCAAATTTCGAAGGGCATTTTGCTAACTACAGAGATTTGAACGATAGTTTTTCTATTCTGGCATCCCCGTGAATATATCTGTTAATTATTATCGGTGCTTACATAAGTTGAAAGGCAAAGTTAGATGTTTACATCATGGGTTTTTTCATGTCTATTCAAAGTAACAACATGTGGGAAGAGATTTACGTGATTTGTGGGTTAATGGTACGAGCAATGGTACATTTAACCAAAGGATAACAGACAAAAGAGTAAACATTTGCTTTAATTAATGAGAACACAAGTAAACAGAAAAATAGGTACTGAATTTGAGGTGCGGTTTAATGAAAGGCGCGGCACAAAAAACCTGACGATTTTTGCATTCTTATTCGAGGCAATTTCCAACCAATAAATACAGAATGCCCCGTAGTCTTGATTGTCTAGCTATAAAGCAGTTTTGGAACTTCAGAAGTAGACTTTTAAGAGAGTCCTGTTTCATAGCAATTACGTGAATCGGAACATTAATTGAACAACATTGTGGGGTGAAAAATCCCTGTTCTTGAGGGTTGGCACGAGTATTTTTTTCGCATGGAACTAAGCGTGCCTTCAGGATACGGTTACATTTTGCTTAAAGCAGCAGTGACTGATCTTGAAAATCGAATAACCGAATCAAAAGTAATTGTTATTGTTTAACGGGCCTTGTGCGCCTCCATAGAAAACGTGAGTAAGCGCACCAATTTTGCTAATTTATACCTGTACCTGATAATATTTCCTCATGGTAGGGATAAACCGCATTTTCTATTTAAATTTTAATGTTTATCGAACTTTGGAACTGTCGAACATGCGCTTAAGTGATAATTTATTTCTATAGCATCACAGTGGTAATTGCCCAGCGTTGAAATCTGGAAAAATTACGTTTATGTTGTCAATTCGGTTTTGTACTTGATTTAGAGGTAGTGTGGCCCGGAAGTAACTGACTCCTTATTGTTGCTAAAAATTAGGATAAATTTGTTATTATCGAATGACGGCGTAGCTTTGTTGCAACTACTAGTTTGCATTTTATTTGTCTGGGGTTAAATTGTGCTATGGAATTTGTGCCACTAATTCCAAGGTTCGTTTACGCTCGACCATTCATTAAATCTTTACTTAACTATTTTGGAACATTTTACCGTTTTAAAAATTGCCAAAGTATGGTGGCAGTGAATGTCTGAGGCAGCACACCTATACGTAAAGGCGGTTGACAAGATAGAAGAGGTGAACTAACTTTCTGTACAATGGATGTTGTGACCAATTGACCCCTGCTTCCGTGTATTTTCTTGATATTTGTAGTGACTTCAATCCGCAACAAAGTGCAGGAAAATAATTACTAAAATTACACTTTAGGACCAACAAGTATTTTCTTTTTTTCTTCAAATTTGACTACTAAGGGAAATACTTGTCTTGCCCATGTGAAAGTTTTCACGAAAATGGCCTGCGAAAATACACTTTGATGTGAATTTTTTTTTGCAAACCACGCAGCTGTGTAATTGGGGTCACTGCTTAGGCTCCGGGATGTTTTATCACACACATCAGCAAATTCTGTGGGACCAGACATGATTCCGATTATGCGGTGCCTGTTTAAGTCATTAAAAAAATTTTTCGTCACTGAATTTTGGGACCGGTGCTTCAAGCCTTAATTATTTGCGGAGTTCAAGTCAGAATTCCAATACACCACCTCTTTGGCGTTTTCTGTCGCCACTCCCTTCATCTCTGAGAAGCAGCGTCGGTTAGATATTATTCTGTCCTTCACCACGTACACGACAAGGCAGTGTTGAAGTATTCCAATTCAGATGGACTTCTTTGGCAAATTTTAT